CCCAAGTAATGAAAATGATGCTAATACTAGATGCTGCTAGAGGATGTAATCCAGACATAATTACATATGAAATGAGAGTAAGTTTGGGATCACTGAAAGCATTAAATACCTGAACTCTGATCTCACTGAAGTGAATTACCACTGTTAATTATAGTACAGTTAAGCCAATATTTAATACTTTAATTCAAATAAATTAAATGGGATCAGTGACTTCCCAGTTATGTAGATAAAAAAAAAAAGGCTGACCTGAAGCAGTTTTGAACATTTTTCTCAAATGCTGCTTTCAGTATACAAAACTCTTTTAGGAGTGCATTCCAGACACATGCAGTATAGCAGAGTGTATCATTTGTTGAAATCTTTTAAAATTGGAAGGTAAAAATTACTTGTGCAAGATAAGAGCATCAGAGCTCTGCAACAGTTTATGGCTATAAATTCAGTTGTAGTGCTGAAGATGTCTACCATCATCACACTGTTTACTGGTTATCTTGCCCCATCCTCAGGGAAGCCCAGTGGTGACTTAGATAAGGCAGCTAAGCTAATGGTGTGATTCCACATCCTCTCACCAAGCAAGACAGGCTGACTTACAAACACAATTTATATAAACTATAATTGGCTTTTGAATGAGTTAGGAATTGCTTTCTTGGACAACCTGTTCCAGTGCCTCACCATTCTCACAGTAAAGAATTTCTTCATTGTGTCTAACCTAAATCTCCCTAATTTAACCTAAATCTCCCTTGTTTAAGCTTGAACCCATTGCCCCTTGTTTTATCTCTACAGTCCTTGATGAAGATAAGGAGGATTTAGTATGAAATCCCTGGTTCACATTTTCTGAAGTACTTACTATTGCTGAAGGCAGAGGTTTGCTTGCATCATCCCTTCTATTCCACTGAAGAGTTCGCCCTTTTAAATAAAAACATCTTTGAATTGAAACCAAGTTTAGTTCACTTAGTCCATTTCTCTGGCTTCTGGTGGCAGCCCTAAATGTCTTGTTCTGGAAGTTGTCATCTATGGACCCTGCTTCATCCATTTGCAGTGCTTGTTTCCTCCACAATCTTTACATCAGGCCCAAACTCATCTCCAAGTGTGTATGCTTTCCCACCCTAGCCTTTAGTTATCCCCTCACTCCTATTCTTCCCCAGAGCTCTCATCTGTCTCTGTCCCTTTCCCAGATTCACTGTTACAGCATTTTGTATCCTGTTTAGTCATAACTTTCCTCACCCAATACCTGTTTCCTCAGTTTCCCCCCTGAATTCCCTAATCTTCCCATTTCAGCCATAAATTCAGCCTAAAGCAGATGGCTGGTGTGGGAAGTTTCAGCTAAAAGTGTTGCAATTTGGCTAAGCTTTGAGAAACTCGGAAGAGATTTGTGAGGGAATTAACCCCGGGTAATGTTTCACATTTCACTAAATACTGTCTTCTGGGCAACTTGCTTTGTCACTTTGTGTGGACCTTCCCATCTGGTTTAAAATTTGTTCTCTGCAGCAACTAGCTAAGCTTCAGTAGAGTAGAAGAGCTGTTTTTATTTGGGGTTTATAGAGTCAAAGAGTTTTAAAGATAATTGATCTTGTTCCCTGGGCTAGTTGAAGTAGCTTTCTATAAAAGTATTGTCTGTCAGAGGCATTTTATTGGAAATACCTCAGTTCTTTTACACTTGTTTATAGCTTACACCAGGGATTTGTGCTAGAGTAGCGTTGTCACAGAGCTAGCTCTCTTAGTTTTAACCTACCACTGTCTGTATCACAGTGCTGTGGATCCGCTTCCCTAGCGTGCAGTCTGTGTGGTAATAAAAGCAGCAAAGTACACTCCTGCTGCACAGTTCTCCTTAAGTGCTTATGTGAACCAGACTTATACTCTTGTTTTTCAAGCTCTGTCATTACTAGACTTCTTCTTTCTTCCCTCCTAGCTTTTCACTGGGTTTCAACGCAGGCTTACCTTCATTACAGCAGGCCTTTTTGGGCTAATTGATAATTCTTACAGCCTGATGTATGGCTGTTATTTGCCCAATCTATTAAACTGTTTACAAGCCAGTATCTTCAGTCATGCAAGGTTATCTTTGCTAGAGAGATGTACCAACCATCTTTATTGTCTCAGAGTACAAACCTCATGTACTTTATCTGGCCTTTGAATGCCAGAATTAATGCCACACATCAGAACTATCAGGAGTTCCTGAAGTCTGAACCTCCTAAACCTGAAAGCACTTCTGAAAGGCAAGGAATTACTTGACAAAGACAAATCTGATCACATGGAGCCTTTTTGTGCTCTGGTGGTCCTGAAGCACTCAAACCAAAATGAAAGCAACCCAAGAAAAAAATAAAACAGTCACTTCACCCTGGAAGATAATTAAGGCATGAAAAGTCTTTTCCCATCTATTTCATGTTAGTGCCTATTACCATGTGGAGGGGTGAGTTGTTTTGAGGTAACGCTCGTCTATCCCGATCTCTCCATTGAATGCAATTTCTTGTTTCACATGCCTGTTAAAAAAAGTCTGCTGAAAAGTGAGCGCTGTCAAATAACTGATTAAAATGATGAATACCATGGAGTAAGTAGGGATTAATTTATATTCTGGCCCAGGGTCTCTTTCACTACAAGAATAAGAGGATATTGAGTTATATCAGCAGATGAGAAGTTGAAAATAAATGAAAGAATATTGTTCTCAAAGCTGTATTTAAGCTGTATAGCTTCTGACTGCAGCGTGCTGTAGACATCTAGAGCTTGCATAACTGAACAAATTAATGGGAGAAAAATCCATTGAAGATCATGAAATACAGAAGATAAAGGCCTTAAGTTGTTGGAAATTTCTGTAGTACTGGGTGAAATACCATTACATGCTTGTCCTCTTTCTTACACTCTTCCCTAGGCATTTTCATGCTGACATTGTTCTATGTCAGTTCCTTTTTAGGAACAGGATGGTGTCAAGCCCCTAGGAAGACCAAAGAACTTTTACTTGGAAAAGGAGGAAGCTTGGAGAAACAAACTCACTACAGGGGACGATAAATGTGATCAAAGGAAGGGGTGTCTGCTTCAAAGTATCAAAGATGGAAAAACAAGGAAGTGGAGGGGGGATGCTGTTCAGAGCACCATCCAAAGCACTAGAAAGTACTTGAAAATATCAAAGGACCTGATGGTTACTTCCCAAGGGCTCCTGTTGAGGACAGGCTGTTGAACTAAATGAACCTTGTGTTTTTACTTGACGCTGCCATTTGTACATTCTTCAGCAGGTTAAGGTCTTGAATGCTTGGCTGTTGGCAAAATTTGTTTAGAATGTGATGCCAGCCGAGAGTAGAAACATTGTGATTTGAGAATTAAGCACTGCATTTCTTGAACCCCAAAAAGCAAACTTTTGAGGGAGGAGTATGTTTAAGAAAGGGGTGGGGAGGGAAGATCCTAACAGTTTTCTCGTCACAGTACACTGAGTAAATATTTAGACTGATATATAACCTTCATAGTGTTATGTTGTACAAAATTGCCAAGAGCCTAGTTTGTAGTCTGAATGCTATGCTTGTTTTGAAATTTAAATAATAAACAATTTATATATGTGTATATTTCAGCTTAAAATCACATTTTGGTGGATTTGGCTGTTAATAAAAGCTTATGGTGGAATCAAGCGCTCTCTCCAACCAGGAAAAATATGAACAGGACCACACAAAATGCTTCCACTGTGTCATTTCTTTTACTGCTGTTCCATTAAAATAAACTCTTTGCCATAGAACTACTTGTCATTTCCCGCTTCTCAAAAATATTGTAAGTAGTGTAGTTACTAAAGTATTCCACTTCTAGCTTTGGTATCTACTTGACTATATTTGCAGAAGATTCTTTACGTTCCTTCTTGCCTTTTCTTTTCAACCACATACAGTGCTGGATCTTAAATACACTGTATTAAATGCAGGTTTCGGCCAGTGCTGCTCACAACTAAACTGAGGCTAGTCAGTGTCATACTCATCTTGGTTTGTCATCAGTGATTCCAGAAGGAAAGTGCGTTTGGTCTTAATGCATGTATTCCAGTGTCCATGTCTACTTCAGCATTTACTGAGATAAATTCTTGACTTGTATCTTCTGCTTACAGCATGCTTTTTCTGTCTCTTGAATTTTATTGCTTACTGAGCTCCACTGAAGCAAAAAGGAAGTCTTTAACTTTATGTAAATTTGTTGAGCTGGATAATTAGCTCATCTCGTTTGTATGTTTGTGCAATCTCTTATAACATGGCCCTGTGTCATTATCATGTCTGTTGGGCTTTCTTAAATCATAAAAGTCATGGGTTTATTCTTATTTAGCTTCCTTGATTCAAAACTACTTTTGTTTTATCTGACAATGGGGTTTCCCCCACTTTTGTACAAAGTATGAGAATAATTCTTTTATGAGTGTTTTCAGTACTCCTGAGGTTTTTCTGTTACTTTCCTAGAGGCAAGTGCATAAGTAAGATTTGTTTAGAAAGCAGAGGAACTGGTTTAGTAGAGAAGTATTTTATGATTTCTGCTTCATATGCACGCATGAAAATTCACAAAATTTCTTTAAATATTGTCTTAAAAATGTAGGTAATGATACCGTCAAATGCCTTAAAATAGTAAAATGCCCATCAAGTAGTGAACTGGAGGTTTAGGGTGAGTTGTTGTCATACTGGGTATATTATTCAGTACCACCAGCTTTGGTATTTCCTTTGGCATTATATAACCTTCAGTGTAGGTAGATGGAATCAGGATGCTCTCCGCAAGGCACAACTGTAGTGTTGTGATTCAGAGATGGTCTCCCAAATGATAAGAATGCATGAGATTGGTGTCATGATAAGGCTACAATTCTATTCTGGTATTAATACACAGTAAAACATTAGAAGTGCTGTTAGCATCCTTAAGAAATGTTTTTGGTTTAAGCACGATTCAGCATGCATTTTAGTTTGCAAATTGACTTACTTCACCTTTTTAAATTCCTGGGATCAAAGAGCAGTGCTCACTTGCTCCTGCAGTTGATGAATACTTACAATGTTTTGTTACATTTTTTTGTGCAGTTAGTTTCCAAAACCTCCTCGTTTACAAGGGTGTGAATAGTCTGCATTTACATGCACTGCCAGTAGTGTTCACAAGCTGGCAGGTAGGTAATACTAACTCACAAGGTTGTGCTTGAATGCATCACTTCTGTTATGCTCTTACCCCCTCCACTGTGCCAACAGCTGAGAGAGCTGTGAGTTTTCCCTACACTCACATCTTTCTGGCTCATTGTCAGTCAAGCTATGCCAACTGCACCAGCCAGTAAAAGCATATAGGAAAAATAAATTTGTCATAGGAAAAGTACAGAGAAGTGATTACTTTCATGCAAGACTACACTGAAGGCACTGTTAGGCTGTACTTCATTAATGCAGAAAAACTAGCTTTCAAAATCAGGGGGTTTGTCAGTGATAGTGTCCTTGAGGACACTTCCACTCAAAGAGTTAGGACCAAAATATGGGGTATTTTTAAACTGCTGTAATGTAAACATTTTTAGTAATTCTAAGAGTAGATGAGACAACAATATATCATTGTATTGTATCATTCTCAAAGAATTCTATGCAAATAATGGTAAAGGGATGTGCTAGCTGATACGCAAGAGATTTATGTGATAATTATCTTTGATGAACTGCACTTTCTACAGTGTTTTCTTCATTGTTTCCAAACATTGAATTTTTCAGGTTATTTACATTGTAATATAAAATAATAGAAAGTAAAATAGTTGTGGAAGTGTATCTGTAACTGTTAACCTGAGAAACTTTTGTTTTTTTTTACTCTTCCTTAAACACACATTTACCATTTCCTCTTGTTATTATAGTGAGGGGAAATCAAGCAGGCTCCTTTTTCTGTAGAACTTAATTCCTAAGTACAAATTCAAAATTTGTAAGCTTCAGGACACAAACTTCAGGATTTGTGTGATTATTTTGTGTCTAATTCTTTTGAAGAACTTTGCAGGACCATGCAGAAGGCATTGGGATACTGAATGCTTCAGATTATGCTTAAAGTTGCTTAATCTTGGCATACTAATCTAAATAACAACAGCGTTGCATTTTTTTGTTGCTTATACGTGTTGAGCAGAATCTGTCCCATGAAAGTCAGTAGTACAACTGAAATTAACATTAAATAATGCATCCAGTATTTGTCACAGCTCTATTAAAGGACTGTTACAAATGCATCGATTATTTACAGATTAAGGTCAATTTCATCGGTCTGTATTTAATATATTATATTGACATAATATGAGAGACCTAATTTCTAGCCTTCACTCAACACTAACTTCATGTGGCAAAGATGGCTATCGAGTAGAAAGTTGGTTTTATTGCTCTGGAAATAGGAGTACAGATCATAGAATGGCGTCAGATTTTCTGAAGTCAAAATATTCAGAAAGTATAAAATGTGCAGAACATTGCAGGTGTTTAGCTTTGACATTTGTGAACAATCTTGTCAAAATGTGCAGAAACTGTTCTGTACCAAAACCAAATACTATTTTCCATCCTTTCTAGGAGGCATACAATAGTAAGAGCACTTAGGAGCAGTTTTCATGGGAAAAATATTCTCCACATGGCAGAAAACTTAAAAAGTCTGTCTTCTCAATACCTGCTGTCTCCCTGATCCTGTTATAAATTGAGGAAGGGACTATGGTGAGAAACTTTTGAGTAAGACAAGGGATTGGTGCTGGTAAGTTGAACCCTATCAGTTACTTTCCTCACATGAAATGCCTGATCAGTTTTAATCCAACAAGTGGGTCAGTATTACTTGAGTGTGCACAGCACATATGAAGTTCTGTATCACTGAAAGTTACAAATGGGAAATAAGCCAAGAGAAAACTGGAATAATTTCTGCAATACAAAAATATAATTAATTAAAAAAGTAGTATGAAAAGTGATATTAACGTATTTCATGTAAGATACTCTGAAGGCCAGGCTATTACCAGTGTAGTTTATGACAGTCTTTTCTGAGGAGAAGAGGCAATGCTCTTTTGGCTCCATAAGATCGGAAAAGATCAAGTTTCTCTTAATGGCATATCAGTTTCTTTCAGTTGATGAGCTTGTCTCAGTGTGCTTATTGTGCATGGGAGGTGAACCTAAGAATACCAGAAAAAAGCTGTTTTGCTAGATTTCTGATGGCCCTTCAGATATTTTAGTTAAAGCTATTTCTTCATCTGTGATAACTTAGAACTTGGCAGAAATACTTTACAAAGTAGGCATAACAACAGTGGATCAATTTCTCCATCGTTTGGAATAGTTCTGGTGAGCAGAATTCCAAGAGATATATGTACCAGAAAAGCTGCAACAGTTTTTCGCTGGGCTCATCTAAGACCTGTGAAGCCCCAGGAACTTAAGTTATTCCCATATCTATGTGAAAGATCTGGCCTAGATCACAAAGTCAATTTAGAGGCTTAAATGTTATTTAAAAGCCATCCTGTTTCCTAATAGACTTTTTTGATCTCCAGAATGCCCAGTCTGTTATCTAGATTATCAAAAACCCATAGGACCTATGTTTTCACTGGTTCATTTCCTCGGGTTATCTATTGAATTGCCCACATCTGATTTTAATTAGCAATTATAAGTCACAGGTGTGTGCATATGAAAAAGAGAAGAGGCAAATTGTTGTTTGCGCCTCTTTCTGGGTATGGGGAAGAATTGTGTTCTCTTACCTGTGCTGGCTTAAATTAATGTTTCCTTCAAGTGGGTCAGTTTAACATGAAAAATTAGTAAGTTATTTTCCTTCCTTTGCTTTCCTCATTCTTGCATTCTCTCTGACCTGCCACACAAGTAATAGATGTGGATTCAAATCGCTCTGGATCAGAAAGGTTAGTGAGCTCTGGTCTTGTGCATTGGTAGTGGGTGAAGATGAAAGAAGAGGGAATTCCACTGTCCGGTCAAACACCAGGACAGGGTCCCTCTCAAGGAATGCTTCTTCCTGTAGCCCACAGTTAGGTGTTTAAACAAAAATACTGTGTAAGTTTATCCTTTCATATATTATTCAAATTGATCTGGTAGCTGGGAGAGACATAGATAAGTTATTTAGAGTTTAGATGTCTTCAGTAGTGCTTTTAATACCTGGCTTGTTTTATCTCATGATAGCTCTGAAAAATGTTTTCAGAGTTGGGAAGAGATTGGTGTGTTTGAATTGTTCCTCAGGAACAGCCTAGACATCACCACTATGTGTAGCATTTTTCAGGCATTCTTCCCCTTCTCTCTATCCTGTGCTGGAATACGCTTACTAACAAGATGTTGCTAAGAGAGAAGGAATAAGCATAAAATGCCCCTTACAGAGTAGTTTTACTGCTTGCAGAGTTTGGGCTATTGCTGCTGGTGGTCTGCATCTTTGTAAGTGAAAAAGTGATTTTTCAAGTTACAAGATGAAAGCTGGAGAGAAAAGAAGTGAATTAACAATAAAGTTTGTGGAAGTTTTCAGTATTCTAAGATAATATCTGTTCATATAAACCACCAGGCTACAAAGGATTTCAGGGTTTTACAAAGCTTCTGCTCAGCTTCCAGCTGGCAAAAATAACCATATTTTCAGTAGTATGAAAGGTGGTGGTTATGCTGCTTTGCATTGCAGAGTGTTCCATATCCCATGTTGTATCATGTCTCAGAGTAGGTCAGTATGAAATCAAGAGTGAAAGAAACGAAACTTTGAAGGTATTTGTTTTTTCCAGCTCAGTAACTTAATATTTCATCAAGGGCCATCTGGGAACTAATCTGAATATGCTGCAGTGAAGAGAGCAGCCAGGGAGGAACTCTAATGAATTCTCAGTATACATTCGTGACTGCCTTCAAACAGTTTGGCAGCCATAATTTTTTAAAGCATTCCAAGCACTCATCTCTCATTGTCTTTTGTGGTTTGGACGAAGGATCGTTGATTGTTGGACTGGTTTTGAGGTAGTCCCTTGAGTGCAATTGTGGATCCTACCTCACACATTATCATCTACATTTGCATATAATTGAGACATAAGCTTTCTGGCAAACTGCAAAAGTAATGCTGTAGATCTGTTGTTAAATTTTCTAAGAACAAACACAACAGGGATGCCAGCCTAAGATGTAGGTCAAGAATTTGTCCACAAATATTCTTTATTAAATCCAGTGAAATCCTCCAGAGGACGTTAGATATGAGTTAAAGAAAAGACCTGTATCCAAAATTTCTTTACTGTGGGGAGTAAGATAAAATGAGAATCGGATCTTTTTTTCCTCTGCACTTGTTTGTTTGAAATTGAAAGCATTCCAGGTATGTTCTTTTTTATTATTATTATTTTTATTTTTGACTTTTTTTTTTTTTTGGAAAAAAGCATCAAACCGCCCCCAAATCCATGTGTCACTTTTGTAAATAACATCCATGCATGAGAATACATGTGTGTATTAGGGGTGGGGGTGAGACAGTGAGAAACCACAGAGGCACTTTATACCTAACATTGCTCCTGCAACAGCTAGTAGGGTGAGAGGTGACTTTAGCAATGACTTACATTACATAATACCTCCCATCTCACTGCAGATGTGTGAGTTTGTTTAAATGTTTTATGAGGTTTTTATTACACTGTAATATAGTCCCAACCCCTCTGCAGTTGCCAGTTTGGTCACAAAATATAATAAATTTTCAAATACCTAATGCTTTAGCTATTCAATAATTTTATGACAGGGCCCCCAGTGCAATTATGGTACCTCTGTGTTGCTGAGCTACTTTTGTTTGGGATGTGTAGAATAGCAGCTTTAGTTCTCTGATCCTGTTCTACAAAATCTCTGTGTTCAAGCAGATTTGAGTTCTGTACACTTGAAAAAAATTACTGTTCTCTGTCTCCATTTTTCATGTGCTGTGATACAATAGCAGGCTGTGCAACAGTAACCAGTGCTTTCACACTCCTTTGGGGTTGCCATGCCTAGCTGATTTGTGGTGTAAGTAGCAGTCTCAGCTATGGAATTTTTTCAAGATTCTGAAACAAACTGAATTCATGGAAAGCATCTGTACTGTGTGCTGATATGCTGCTTTGCACCCGTATGATAAAGTTTACATTGGAGGCCACTGAACATTAAACACCAATTCATGAGAGAGCTGAGAACAGGCCAGAGCAGTCTTCACTTTACATTGGAACATTGCTTCTCAGTATCCCATTCCCTCAAAAATTTTATGAATTTTTACAGAAGGGAGGAAATTCAGTTTCTGAAAGAAAAAAAAACCACAACCTTACGCTTTAAAAATATGCTTAATTTATAAGCAGATGGTAATTTTTAACTAAGTATTTCAAAGAATACGAAGGGAAGAGATATATGCGTAAGGAAAGTGGTTCTCTGTTTCCAGTTTCTGCTTCCACTGAGGCAGCTTTCTGCTGGGCTCTGAACATTATATGGAGGGCCGATGGTCAGATCTTGATTCAGAAGGACAGTTTTCCATTTTGAAATCCCTCTCAAAAAGGGTTGGCTCCTGAGATGTAGAAGCAGGCAAAGAGAGATAGAGTATTTCAGCAGAATTTTGCTCCTGAGGAACTTGTGTCACTAAGTGGGAGAGAGACTGCTGGAAAACAACAGCCTTACCATGTGTGAAGCCTCTGAATTCAGGAAGGTGACTGCGTTTACAGAACTGTGAGGAATATGAAAATTCTGTGCTGTTTCTTTGAATGAT